CCATTAATGCCCTCTATCGCCAAAAGCTGTTTATTTCTTTATGCTGTATACTATGCCAGATGTACTATTCTTCTTAGATGGAAGCTATCTACTGCACCTACAATTGGTGGAGAGCCACTATTAACAAAGCCCTACCCCTTAATAACCTTACCTACCTAGGTTGCAACTGGCCCAACAAGTTTGAAAAGACATGGGCACCCTGGATAGAGGATTATTCCCTATATAGAGACTGCCTGGACCTCTGCTCTTTACGGAGCCCTGCAAAGTTTTATTCTATAAAGCCCTGATGGCTGATATTATGCACATTAGTTTTGCCCCAGGTAGAACCCCCTCCCCTACTTCTCCTCCCTTTTCAATCTTTACCCTTTTCTTTCCCCCCCTATCTTTCCCTTGTTCTACTGCTCTTTGTTTCTGATGCCTTTATTATTTTGCTGCTACAACTCTTTGAATGCGCATGTTACCACTCCATTTCTAACTTGCAGGAAACCCTGAGCTGTATTCGTAACTAATTGTTGTTTCATGTTAAAACTCAATAAAAGTTTACATGCTAAAAAAAAAAGAATCACCCTAGACAAAAATGAGCAGCGTTCTCTTGCAGTGCGGGAGTATATAGTTGTTTTGTTCATATGATTTATTTCTTGTTTTTTTAAGGACTGAACACATGTTTTTTAAATATTAGTAGGTAAATATGAAATATGAATTACATTATTAAATTATTATTATTAAATTAATAATTATTTAATATTAATATTTTGGTTTCTGCTTTTGAGCCTGAGGATGAAGCTTTAGTCTCCCTTTCAAGTTTTAAAAGTTCTCAGTTGCATGTTGTTTACACAGCTGAATGCCTTATCAGTATTTAATATCTTATTGTATGGACTTGGCTCTAAGTTTCAGTCAGAGAAATTGTGCCTCAAAGCAAGTAATGTCTTTAGCTAACCTGCAGTGCTATTTGAATCCTTTGTCACATGATACAAAAAACAAAAACAAATGAAGACATATAGGCTTTAAAAAAAACAAAAAAACTAAAATAAAACTGACTTAAAACCATAATTAGTTTTCCCTAAATGAGACAGGATACATGTGTTTCCATAAATGAAAGCAAAATTCAAAAAGGTTACTGCTAGTTGTAATTTTCTTAGGTGCACTGGTTATCTGGCTCCTGGGATGTATCAAGACTCGATCATGGAAGTGGCTCAAGAGTATATTTACAGCAGTTGCTTTACATTAGTGCATATCTTACTATACATCAAGTGTCCTGAGGGACAGTTCAAAGTATCCAGCTTGTACTTGAAAAAAGTCAATCTAAGTGACTTTCCTTTTTTAAAAAAAAGATTTGGATGTTACAGAGCCTGCAGTCAATAAAGCCAACAAATGTCACCATTCAATGCCAGCATAATGGCTCTCCAACTGTAAAGTGTTCCTGATACTGATCTTATTCTGGTGATATTGGCAATTTTTTATACTTTATTGTGGGTGGACTTTTGCATGTGTAAAACATTGTTGTGTGATTGTATCTGTAATTAATGAGCATATTGCTCACTTCCTAAGGTAAAGCAGCTGTCCTACAGCTCCAATAACACTATTTTCACCACACCTAAACCGCTTCAATTTGTAATGTTGATCATCTCTATTTACTTTTTGTGGACTCATCTTAAATATATGTTCTATTTTTATTGTATGGAAAACATCCTTTAATACAAAGAGCATCACTAAGGGGGTTATTCACTTCTCTATTCTTTTTGCCCCATTCTTCCAATCCCCTTAAAATCCACACCAGACCTCTCTTTAGGATAGGACATCTAGGGTGTATTTTTACAAACCTTTATATAAATTGGTTAACATCCAGTGTAGGACCACAGAGGGTGTGTCTAGCAGAAAGTGGTAGGAAATCATACATTATTTGCCTACTTTATTCTAAGGCATTGAATTGATTGCTATTGGTAATCATTACTTAATTTGGACAGCAACCATGTTGGCACTATTTTAGTGTGTGTGACACATTTCTTAAAACGTCTTTAAAACTCAGCTTCAAAACAAGCCATCACTGATTTCTATAGTTGCAGGCACTGTGGAAGAATGCAACTTCAAACTTCCTAGCATAAGCATTGAAATAATTTAGGCCATTCTCTTAGACAGCTCAGCCAATTATGCTAATGCCTACTAAAGCTTGCTAAAAGTTTAAGTGTACACCCTAACAATGATTTGCTCCCTTCTGGTCTCTTAACTTGAATAAACGGCAACCTGGTGTAATGAAAACCGCCGTCAGCGCTCACCTAGAGTCCAGGGAGTGCACGGTTCCGCCGCTTCTCGCCGCCGGCCGTCTGCGTCCCAGGGTGGAGCGCACACATCCACTTCCGGGTTCGGACGTCGGATGCGTTCCACCGTGCGACGTGGAAGTGCGCCGCCTCGATCAGCGGCTCCTCCCCCAGCCCTTGGCCCTATATAAGCGCCCCAGTGAGACAGTATGGCATTCCACTAATGCAGACTGAACGCCTGCTGTCTCCTGGGACCCCACAGCTCTTCTACTCGCCTGCAGCCAGCTACAAATCTTTGGATCATTTGCTCCTGGACCCCTGCACCTTATCTGCCTTCACTTAAACCGCAAGTACTTGTGCTTATTGCACTGCAGCTTAAACCATAGTGACTGTGTAACCTGGATTAGCTCCTGTGCTCCATCTACTGGGCTGTTGGGAGATTACACCACTGACTCTAACTAAGGCTGCAAACACTCCTGTATTTCAGTTATCATCCCTAATCATTACAGCTTGAGGGTACTATTATATTGAGATTGGGCATATGCAGTAATATCCCTATCAGTACTTATCTCCTTTTTGTTTCTTTTGGCTGTGATGCTTGAACCCTAACTCCCCGTTAAGATTGGGAGTGAAACCAGGTTTCCGTCTGAGTAGCCTCCGCAGTTGCGATCCACAACCCCTAATACTACCCCAGGTGTTACAGCTGGGAGCTTCTTGAATGTGAGCGGGCGCTTAAAATCGTTCTTTTAGCTCCATCCACTCGTGCGCGCCAAGGCGGCACACCAGCAGGAAACTGTCAAAATTGTAATCAGCCAGCTGTGGCTGTTTAAACACAATCGTTCATCGCTTGTATGTTGTGCTCGGTGCTGCCCCACCCCCACACAGACGCCGGTCCAAGTCCCCCGCCCCTGTGAGCACGCTCGTCGCCACGTAAACACGCGTCGGGTGCGCCTACGTATGAAAACAACGAACGCGCTACACATGTTGGGTATCGCCGCGCACGCCGGAGTGAGAGCAATCATTCTAGGGCCAGTATTCTGGGGTATCTCTAAATTGATGACCTGTGGGTTCTTTTAAATCGTCTTCTATGGACTTTTTGGGGTACTGCAGTTTTTCGCCATTTCACGGACGCACGCAATTTGTAACCTGGGCATGTGTTTTGAGGCATTTAATTACATTTTTCACTAAATGTTGGGGTTTAATAAGGAGTTGCGCTAATATTGCGCAACATAAAAATTTGCAACTACCACCATTTTATTCTATAGGGTCTTGGCATTCAGAAAATATATAATGTTTGGGGGTTTTAAGTCATTTTCAAGCCTAAAATGTGGAATATAACATGGGTGCAAAACATGAAAAAAAGGCCTCAGTCATGAAGGGGTTAATAGAGTAAAAATAAAAACCCCATTGGTGATTAAATACCACCAAAAGAAATCTCTATCTGTCCCCAAAAATTTTTATAAAATTAATTTCAGTACAGCATTGCATGGCGGAATAAATGTCAGTAAACAGCTGGTCTTCAAGTACATAGAATGAAAGCTTTGTGTTATAACAGTTTGATAAGTTCAAAAAATACCGGTTGATGCTGCAAAAGATTTAAGGCCGTGACACACTGCATGCGAAGCCGTGCAGAGCGAAGCAAAGCAAAGTGTGTGAGCTGAGTGCAGTGAGATGATTGACAGCACCTTCAGCCAATCGGCTCGTCCGTAACAACCTGCCAGCTGTCGCATTGCGACGCGCTGGTTTATACGTGCGAGCCGATTGGCTGAAGTTGAAATTGTTCATCTCGGCACGCTCAGCTCCGCGAGCTCTCGCAAGCTGAGGTGCCGAGCAGAAAATTACATGACACACTGCTTGCAAAGGCAGCGCGCCCCCGCTCCGCGCTGCTTCGCGTGCAGTGTGTCACGGCCTTTAGAGCCTGTAATGTCCTGTGCACTTTGCCTGTGCTGCACTGAATTCTCAAGCTGTGTAATCAACCCTTCCCAGTTCACATCTCTGGACTAGAACCCCCCCCATGTTATGGAGATGAGGAAGGGATGTTCTGTATTTCAAACCTGGAGAAAGATGCCTAGAGTAGCAATGTTGCTTGTCTATAGTTGCAGTGAGTGAGCATTGTCAACCTACTGCAGGAATGTGTTACTGACAAACACCAGGAAAGAAAAAATTGAAAAAGAAAAAACAAACACAACTACCACATCTAAGAAATAGATAAGCTGCAATAGATTACATTTTTGTTCTTGGGCTAAATACACTTTGGAGGAAGAAGATCTGTATTGAAAACATTTGAACAGGGGCTTTGTGTGCATCAAGAAAGGTGCTCAAAATTTATAAAATGTGCTGTAATGCTAATGCTAATGCATTTTAGACCAGTGTTCACAAGACAATTGCTTCTGTGTTTAGATACTAAGAAAGCATCACCAGTAGTGATGGGCTCGGGCGTGTTCGCAGCTCCACGTGCCGAGCCCGCCAGGAAGCTGACAGCGCCAATCGCAGACACGGAGACATTTCCCGATCTCTGCAGCTGCGGACCGGGATAATGTCTCAGTACCTGTGATTGGCGCTGCGGCACTGTCAGCTTCCTGGCGGGCTCAGCATGTGGGGCTGCGAACACGCGCAAGCCCATCACTAATCACCAGGACCCACAGTCCAGGTCGTACCAAAATTAAGTACCCTCCACCTCCTTTTTTGCTTTGATCTATTTTCTCTTTTTTTTTTTTTCTTTGTTTTACACGGATGTTCAGTTACCTGGATCTTCAATGATGAGGCTCTTAATCAGCCACTGGACAATGTCGGCTCCTACAAGAGGAAAAAAACAAACAGTGTAGGTAATTGAGTGGAAATAGGAAGACAATATAAACTGAAAGCACATCTACATTGACTCAATTAAAGTAATGTAACCAATAACCAACTTGACTCCCCTGACCAGCTTATTATAACCCAGTTAAATGAGGTGGGGGATATGCTTGAGAGGAAAGATTAAAGTGAACATATTAGTAAAATTCATAGTTTACCATACCTCTGATCGCAGACTGCATTGAGAGAGAGAGAGTGTTGAAGCATTTGGTGTGTTAAGGGCTGATTTAAGAAGGAGGCAATGAACTTTGAACGGTTTTAATATTCTCCCACCACTGGATGATGATTTAAGACACCAGAGCACAATTCTAAAGCATTCACCCATATCTCGCAATCAGGGAAAAGTTGGTACACTCAAATGTCTATGGAGAAAGACCGTACTTAATTAGTGTGTATATTGGAATCTTATAGGGCTATGGTTGCCATATCCAGAAGGCTGAACTGAGATTAACACTATATATTGCCTCATGTTAGATAGACTTGATAGACATAGACATGGGACATGACCTGGCAGATATCCCTTATTTTGAGCACTCTGCAAAATGGGCAATGTAATATGTAATAATCTGGGCTGGATTTGAGATGCGACCATTTCAATGGCTTCCCGGGCAATCAGGAAGCCAGGTGGCATGTCATTTACCCACCACCCGCTTTTACCCAGGAAGCCGGCTCCATGCTAGCGGAAAACAGAGGTATCGGTACTTGGTATCGGCGAGTACCGAAAGCAAAGAATCAGTACTCGTACTCGATACCAAAAAAAACGGTATCAGTGCATCCCTAATCAGGGCCATTAGTTTTTCTTAAGTTGCAGCTGATCTCTCTAAAAAATATGGTTTCTGACCCTTTACCAGAAGTCAAAGGTACCTTGATTGATGGGTGAGGAATGCTTCCTACATGGTGCAGTAGTAGCTTCTTCCCAATTGCTCTGGGACACTCTTCAGAAAGAAGATTCTTTAGAAGCCCAGCTATCATCAGACATGCACTCTAACAGGCAGCTAATGCCATTGGGCCTCTATCACATGTCTCCAGCTGAGGCAAGGCCCAAGTAGAGATCCTTGTAGATACACATCTGCTCCAGGAGCAGAGAGAAAACCCTCTGAAAAGGTACCCAAAATATTTACCATCTCCACAAACCGTACCTCTGAAAAAAGACCTCACGGCTTGATTGGGTCAGAAAAAATACACATCTCAATGATTGTCCTTCCCACTCTGATTACTGAAACCTCCTTCACCATAACAGGCAAAAGCAGTCAACATACTGAGCTTAAAAAAAGGTAGAAATATGCTCAGGCAGGTTACAGCCTAGCAACAAACTCACTGATTCTCAGGCAGCTCTACATGAAAATATTCAGGCAAAACAAAATCTGATATTGAATATATTTGGATGAATCTAAATATGTGCAAATGACCAAAACACGACTCTTTGGCACTTCTTTATCAGGAGAGTAATTGGTCAGTCAGGCTGGAAACTGATGAACTGCTTGCTACTGTTCTACTGAGATAGTGCTGGTGCTGCGGGTTCTGTTCACACTTTGCCTAATGAATGAACATAAATACTCAGGCAAAAAAGGCATACATGTTTATGTAGCAATAGTTTAAGATAGACACAGTGGTCACACTGTATTTGCAGGTTCAACTTCCATCTTGTATTTATGGCCAGCATTTTACCAAATAAAACACTGCCAGTACATAGTACATATGTGAATTAACAACTGTATTGCTATCCTTTTATATGTGTCACATTCTAATGCACGATCTCCTTCCCCACTTCTTTTCTCTCATATATGTATCACATCTTAATTCAAGATCTCCTTCCTCATCTCGTTTCTCTCTTATTTGTTACTAAGAATATCTCTTTTATTTGGCTGTCAAGGACAGTACAATGAGGGTTCAATCAAAGCAAGGCCCAGCAGGTTTCTTCCTCTTTGGCTATAAAGTCTTGAGGGAGTGAGGAAGTATGAACAGCAAGAGTCCTTTATAGAAGGTAAAGTACAAGCTCTTTCAGGTCAACTGATGCAAGTTTTATTTCTGCCTCCTTTCTCTACTAAGGACTGCAGGCTACTGTGGTTTAAAGGACAAGCAAATACAGCCTGCTGATCGTATATACAATATCTATTTCACCCTGCAGCAAAATAAAAATATAAACAAACCTTTCTGTAACATTAGGTTATATACAATATACACTGCTGTTGGTTTATCCTTCATCTTTCTCTTTGAAATGACAAAATAGGTTTCTTTGTCACTCATTATAAAAATGATAGGGCCACAAGAGAAAAAAACATAGCATATTCCATTATGAAAAGGTACCTTATGTTATGCCTAATAACTACTGTATATGCCATTATGTACCTCATAACTGATATGGTAATCAATGAATCGATGAATAAGTCAAATAATGTTACAATTTGCAAATGAAAAGATTGTGATATTTATCAGTCTAATTAAAAGTAACATTTTTATCTTGGGAACTCTCTTTTTGTAAATAGTATTACCCCTAATTGGTATCATTCTTGTATCTATGCATTTGCCACTGCTTAGTACTGGTAATTTTTTGTATTTCTAAGTACATAAAGTAGACCTAAGGGCTCGTTCACACCATGTCTGTTGAGTTGCATTTTTCCTGCACACCACCGTACATGTATCGGGTAAACAGGGCACATTAGAAAACCATTGTTGTGAGCACATAGTCACAAATTATTCGATATATTTGAGTATATATTGATGACGGTGGAAAGGATGCACTAGTTTATCAATATTTGTTATATGCAGCATGGCATATACACTGGTTAAAAAATCATATGAGTGAATTAATTTCGCTTGGTACTTGCAGCTTATTTCATAACCCATATTAAGAGTGAGATACTTTGGGTTCGTGTGTGGCTTACCTGGGGAAGAGATGGCACCAGGATGCACTATGGGAAAAAGGCAAGCTGGTGGAGGCAGCCTGATCCTTTGGGCAATGTTCTGCTGGGAAACCTTGGGTCTTGTCATTCATGAGAATGTTACTTTGACATGTACCACTTACCTAAACATTGTTGATGACAAATGACACCACTATGGAAACAGTATTCCCTGATGGCAGTGGCCTCTTTCAGCAGGATGATGCGCCCTGCCGCACTGCAAAAATGGTTCAAGAATGGTTTGAGCAACACAACAATGAGTTTGAAGTGTTGACTTGGCCTCCAAATTCTCCAGATCTCAGTGCAATCAAGCATCTGTGGGGTGTGCTGGAAAAGCAAGTTCAATCCATGGAGGCCCCACCTCGCAACTTACAGGACTTAAAGGATCTGCTACTGACAACTTGATGCCAGATACCACAGCATACCTTCAAAGGTCTAGTGAAGTCCATGACTTGATAGGCCAGGGCTGTTTTTGTTTTGGTGGCAAAAGGGGGACCCCCCTTATGACTCATCATTTGATCTGGGTTCTACTAGGCGACACCACAGCTGTTGTATACATCAACCAATGGGGAGGCACTAGGAGTGTTGCAATGGTGATGGATGTAGTCTATCCAGTCCTGGGCAGAGTTTCATTTTCCAGGGAACTCAACGCTACACACCCAATAGTAGAATACTGGCAGGCACAGTTTTTTGTTTTTTTTTACAGTGTCTTGACCTGGGGGATTGGTCATTCATCCAGGAGTGTACTGGTACATCTGTTGGGAGATGCTGAATGTGAAACTATTAGCATGGTTCAACAAGAAGCTGTACAGGTTTGTTTCTAGGACATGGGACCAGACAGCAGAAGCAGCAGATGCTTTAGTGGTAGGGTGGGATCAATATACCCTGATCTATGCATTTCCAGTACTGAAACTTTCAACTCATCTTCAAAGGCTAGGGGATGAAACCACTGCAGTCATTCTCATAGCTCCAGATTGACCGTGGGTATTGCAGTGTATGGACCTTGTTCATCTGTTAGCCAACGCTAAAACACGTGCCTGTGTGTCTCCACAAATACACAGGCACGGCAGTGCATGCCACTCCCCTGATCCTCCCTTCCCTAAGCTAGTAAATGGACAGCTGCTGGAGACTGCTCTCTCCCTTATGATCTTGTACTCGACAGGACATTCAGGAAAGCAGGGCAGAGGATGGCTCCTCAGGGCCTGCAAGGGAAAAGAGCCATCCTTAAACGGGATATCGGGGCCAGCATTCAGGTGACCAACTGATTCTGCAAAGAACTAAAACTTTTAGGAGGCAGATGAGGCAGAATTTCACTCCAATCAGACAAATAATTAACAAGTGGTCAGGGACAGGTTTTATTCTCTCCTAAGCAGAGGGATAAATTTGACTGCCTGTGATATGAGGACATTATAAGCAGTAAACCTTTTTTCCTTATTAACGTTTTTTTCTGAAAATGCATTTGTGGTATGTTGGTGTCTATTTTAGGCACAAGTAGGACTCTTTAATGGAGTTCCTATAATCACTAAGAAAATTGCCAAGGTATGCAGAAATTATGCACCTATCCTATATTACAGTAAATTACTCAGCACTAAAAAAGCACTAATGGCTGGACTTCTACAGCCAACCTATGCAGGTTAATTTTGATTTGTGTAAGAAGATCAATATCTATCAAAAATGATTTAGACAAACCAGTCAATAACATTCAGAATTTCTAAGTACACCGTAATGTTATTCCCAGAATAGAAGCTGCTGGGTTAAGAGCAGACAACACTAGTTACAGCGTGGTCTATGAAAACATAGGTTCATTACTACACCACGGATGCATTGCTTAAACCTTTCAGTCCCCGTTGTGTATGAATATGTTCATATTTAATTTATGTATTACATACAAAAGTCATGGTGCTTGCTATAGATGGACTAGTGTAAAACCACCGGGCACAGAAAATCAACAGAATGAAGAGAAGCAATTGTATGACCGTGCTTTAAACGGGATTATAAATACTAATGTAGACAGACAACCGTTAAGAAACTACAGAATCAAAC